CAAATAGTAGAAAATTACATCAAAATTTTTTATTTTACATTTTTGAATTTTTTAATTAAAAGAATTCAATTAATTAAAATAAAAAACAAAATTTGTTCTTGTAATTCACTGCTGTTCGAAAACGCTTTATTAAATACAATAGTTACTGTACATGAGTAAATACTGCTGTTGTAATTTACATTAAAATTAAATTTAATATTATAATTATATTATATTACATATTTTTTATTTTTTTAACATGACACTATTATGATACTTATGATCGTGTTAATTTTAGTACGTAACTAATATGATGATATTAATTAACGATATTAATATATAGTATCTTGTACACACTATCTAGTTAACATGATAAAGATACTAATAATCAATACTTAAACACTGTTGTTAGGTTAATTTATAACTTATTTATTTTAAAATTCGTTTAATTGTTGCATATCTTGTTTAAAGAGGTTCTGTAAATGACATTATAGCCTATAAAAAGATTCAAAAAAAAAAAAAAATTTAATAGTGTTAGATCTTAATGGAAAGACGAAATTGTTTATTATAAAGATATCAAACAGCTCAATGCAAATAAATTTTCGATGCTATACCACATTACAGACTAGCTCCTACCAATATGATTGATAGACAATGCTCTATACTTTATTTCGTTAAACGGAATCTTCTAATCAGACACAAATCGTTTATCTTTTTGGTATTGGGTAAGGTATTAAAAATACTAAATTGCTAATGTAATCAAAAAAGTTCTTATTCCTGAACGTGAGGAAGATTCTATTGACAAATCTATTGATATTCGCCTAAAAATTTAAAGACCCCTAATAGTATGTTATGGAAAATATATGTTAAAAATGGTTTTAATGTATACCCGCTCAAAAAGTATTTGGATTTTGTTGTTTGTTAACTACTCCTTAAGTAATAGACCTTTTTCGAACATTTTTTTTGTTATGTTGGTACACCTTTTCTTGACATACGGTACAAATTTGAGCGTCATCTGTCAATTAGTTTGTTTACAGCAGCTGTTAATGTGAGACTACCTCAAGTGCATTTAGCGATATTTACTATGGAAAATTCTTGTTGTACGTGATTTTTTGATCAAACACGGCACCACTGTCATCGCTAAGGCACCATATTCGCCAGATCTGCATCCGTGCGACTTTTTTCTGTTCCCGAAACTCAAATTGCCTCTTCATGGTAAGCATTTTGAGTCGATTGAATCGGAAAAAGATAATTCGCCGAAGGAACTAAAAGCGATACCTTCACGGGCCTATGAAAAGTGTATGGAAGATTGGGTTAAGCGTTGACATATGTGTATCGCTTCTGAAGGATCATATTTTTGAAGGAGATAAAATAAATTTAAAATAAAATTTAAATTTGTGTGTTTTAAATCCGAGTACTTTTTGAGCAGAAGGTATAGCAATGCCATTATAACTTTTATTAAATACAATTAAAAACAATAAAATTGTCGTAATTACTAATACAAATAAAAATAATAATCACGTTTTGTATTAATGTGTTTATCTATAAGGCAATAATTGTGCTTTGGAAAAATTAAAGAAGCTTCTTCTTAAAATATTATTTAGTAAATATTATTTAGTTATTTATTCACTAATTTTTAATTTATGATTGTTTGCAATTGTAACTTTAAAGATTAATGACAAAACAAACCCTTTAATTTAAACAGTCTTTATTCCTCAAACAACAATATCAAGTATGTGTAATATTCTTCAGGGTGTTATTCACTGTCAATTTAGATTATCCAAATCAGAAAATTCCTTGAAAATATATTTGATTTTTGAACATTTGATCAAGTGCTCAAGGGAATAGGAATCAGATATAGTAGTGCGCACAGTTCAAGGAACACATATAAACAGAAACATGAGCATTTTTCTAATACGTGTTTTCATAAGTATATCATTATCAAGTATTTGGATCATTTATGGACTATATTAATGCTCATTAGAAAAAACACATACGAGTTAAAATTAAAATAATTTGATCACTTTAAATATTATTTTTGAAATAATTTTTTTTCTATTTCAAGAACCGTAATATCTATATCAATTTTTAATACGTTGTTAACATTTTTTAGATCTAAATTTTTATATATATTCGTTTATTGTGTGTTAATCTATAATATATATTATTAATATATATATAAATAAATATTCATGAACATAAAATGATGTAATTATATTATGCAGTTATATTATTTGCGATTCACTTATTTACTGTTCACAAATAAAATTATTAACAAATACAATTTAACACTAAAATTTTTACTTTACCGAACATTTTTAAAATCGTTAAAGGCACTTTTTTCTATTGCAACTTCTCTCTGAACTTTTTCAACAATAAGTCTAAATTAAAATGTTAATCAATTTATTTGATTTTTGTTATTTATATAGAAAATTATAAACATGATGAGATTTTATCAACTTATCAGATGCTTGTAAATTTTGTATAAATAAGATAAAAGCCACTCTTTATCATTATTTAATCGCTTTCTTAATTTGACAAAAAAGAAAGCCAAAAATATTTGAAAAATATATTGATACCATTATAAATCTTATCTAATTAGCCTAATTGGACTACGCACATAAATCAATAGAAAATGTGAAAAATATTAATGTAGGTCTTCTAGATAGAGTAGAGTTTCCTCCTAAACAACGTGATTAATTTTATATACTTTCAAATTAAGAAATTTTAAATCATTTCTATTTTTGGAAAACTAATATGAATACAGTTTAATAACAGTTTATTTATTTTGGATTAAAATTTTCTTCTGCGATTTTCAAAATCAGCTAACTTTAATTGGAAAGCGTTCTCAAGGCGTAAAAGGCCTTCAGATTTAATTATATGTGTAAGGCAATTCAAGATTAAAAATTTGCTCTTTTCTCTTTCAGCTTGGTGTTGATAAAACAACCTAAATGAAAGAAATATATAATTTACTTATTATTGTAGTTTCTGTCTTAACTCATGTCGATCCATTATCATTAGGGAAACTTGACTCATTTACTTTCACTATCTCCCGTTTATATTGGGAACTTATTCTTTGCTGTGTGTAACCGAAAAAAAATATATGAGGGAGGGTTCCATTTGCTGTATATAGGATACAGGTAAGGTTAAATTGGATTGGCAGCCCTACACAGTAAAGCCATTTTAAGCACAATAAATGGGACAAGATGAAAATCCTCAATAACCCGGAAATCTTATTGATTTTGTGATATGTTACTGTTTACTTTGACAATGGCTTATATGTTCATATACTGTTTCTATCGATAATGCACAAAATTTATTTATAATATATTTTTCATACACTACGCAATTTTGTGCTAGAAACTTAAGTTTAGAATAAATTATCAATTTAAACTTAAAACTTATTTCTTCATCAATGCCGGAGTCCAAAGGAGTAGAAGTAGTATACATTTAAATTAAGATATTTGGTTTGAGATAAATTCTTAACTACTTACATTTTCATTTAATATTGCAACATATCAATATCGGACAAGATTGTCTAAGGTTTTTACGATCTCATGTTTTTTCTAATTAAACATTTTATTGTCTGAATGTTATTTGATGCTACTCAAATTTTTCTAGTAATGTTCCATTTATTGAAATATGTTTATTGAAATTTAAATATTTATTATATATTTGAAATTCTAATGAAGATCTTTAATTCTAATGAGGTACGTGCCTTCACTAAAATTCGATTGTGTCTAAGTCTTGTGCATATTAAAGTATTTTATGCCAACCACATACTATTTCAAACCAAGCAAGTTCTTATGATGAACCTTCGGACAAAAGTTTTCCCTTATACTTCATTTCCGATTAAATATTTTAATGAACTACATTCATGATTCATTATATTGGAAGTAATTTAGTTAACAGTTAACTGACTTTTGTCTTATTTAAAAGCCAATGCAGTTAAAGCTATTTACTTAAAAGCAACATCTAAATATTATCCAATTGATCTGAAACTTTATATTTATAACTTTATATTATTAGTTTTCCAGATATCTAAATAATTTCAGTGGTTGGCAACTAAACTACGAACACTTTTTGTAGTCTCATATAAAAAACTTCACATATGTTATAGTTTTAAATCACTTTTGAAATATATTTACATAGAATAAATATATTAGCTGGATTTTAGTTTCTGATGTGCCCGATTTAACAATGAGTTTAAAAAAATTGTCTATTCTTAGTATGTTAACTGTTTTTAATATCGATATAGCACAGTTTTCCAGACATTCGAGACTTGAAGTTTGAAATTTTTATATAAACTCCACCACTAATAAGTGGACGTGTAAGATTGCCATCAGTTGTTTGTATTATTCATATAATAATGTCGTTGCTTTTCGACGTTGGTCATATGCTGACCTTTTAGTCTATGTTTGAATAAACGACATTCCTGTGACCACAACGGGCCATTATTTGGGCTCAAGTAGGCTTTCTTGGACACAAGATCGCCACTCCAACCTAATCTAACCAAATATAAGAATTGCATATTTCAGTTTGAGTTAAATGGTGAGTGAAGTTTTTGTAAGTGTGTAATCTATGTAAAAAGTAAACAATTAAAAACCTCGATATCTTGAGAAATAAGTTATATCGGCATATGTTATAGCGTAATAGATAAAGTTGCTTAGCATAGGTGAAACCGGGCTCCTCAGAAATATGAAATTTGCTAATTTATTTTATTTTTAATGACTTCTAACAGAAAACATGGTGAAAATATCTTTTCACCTTAAATTTTCGCCCACTTATAAATCATTAGTCTTCCTACTCATTTTTAAGCATATAATATTGCATCTAAGTATATATTTGTACTGCTTCTTCAGCCTAATGCTTTATAATGTATGTAAAAAATACTTTGTGTTAAGTATTTTAATTAAAATTTGCATATTGAATACCGAATTGAATATTCATAAGTGAAAAATTAAGAGAAAACAGTCAGATAATTTCATTTTGATATATACTTTAAAAAATTATATTTGAGCTTAAGTTCATATGTAAGAAACAAAGTGTAAATATAATTAATATTAAAGATAATACTGCATATAATACTGAAAATTAATGATTTCCAGCAGGCTTGGGATAGCAGCAACCAAATTCGGGATTTTGATTTACGCATGCTCCCATATCTTCGTTGAAAAACATGCCTTTGGAACAATTCCCTTTACTTTGTTGTACACCATTTTTGCATACCAAGTATCCACTACAGCCGGTTGTGGAATACTGGTTAACGAATTGGGATTTTGAGCCTGAACAGCGATCGCAATTATTGCGTGCCGACTGACGGCTAACACAGGTCTGGGTGATTGTATCGTAGAATTGTCCCTTTGTGCATAGATAGTATTGATAGACGCTGCCATCACATTGATAGTAACCAGCACAGGCGACAGCTGATTTTCTAATTCCCTTTTTACTGCAAGAACCACCACTTCCAACAGCACCAGTTAGTAAAGGATCATGAGTCAGCTAAGAGAGAAAGTCAATTGTAATTTATTAAAAAAATAATAAAATAATTTTAATCTTTTTTCTACAAACCTGTGAGCATACAAATTCAGTTGGAAAATCGCATTTGCTGATTTTAACATTGTAGTCAAAGCCAGTTGGACAAGTACCGCTTGTCATTACATTGTTTACACATTTGTTCCAAAAATTGCAGGATGCTGGACTACCAAAATAGATACTATTTTGTATATAATTACATAAATTTACAGAAACAACTGGTGGCTCGTCTGGATTATTTGTGCCTACGGTGGTGCATGGATGCTGATTGGCATGGACACATTTTTGATTTCCATCATGGAAATGATTTCCATTAGGACAAGAGCTGCGTTGAGCACCATTAGCGCCGCAATAATAGAAATCCGTGCATGAATCAGAGACTGGTGCCCAAGTACCGACAGCGCGTCCATTGCAAGGATCTTCTGCAGTTCCATCAAAACAGTTTACTTGATCTGCTGGCAGACATTGCTGTGTGTCCTTGTTAAAATGTTGAGATCCAGAGCATTTTTGTAATTGGGCAACGTCACCAATGCACAAATAGTATGAGTCACAAGACGCGGCAGAAATTTTCGATTTTTCCGGTAATAATGCGCAAATATTATTCATGTTTGGAGTTGTGGCAAGACTGCCAAGGACGAAGGCTAATAAGCAGACGGTGATCAAGTATTTATCGGCTGTAAGAATATAAGAACGAAATTCGAATTAATAAAAATAAATTTACTATGTTATAATTTGAAATAGTTTTTTTAAATATTTTTTGATGATATATCTTTAAATGTAAAACTTTTCCTAACTCACCAAACATTTTGTTATTTCGTTTTTATTATAAGTTGTGTTAATAATAAAATTAATTTATGTTCGTTTGTAATGAGTCGAGTTCAAAAATTGAATGCTATTGTCAAGAAAATTTCCTATATTTATATGAAATTTATGAATGGCATATCTTGGCATATCAATCTAATAAAGTTGTTAAACGGCAATTAAACATTTAGACTTTTATATTGGCTGTTAAATTTACCCTACGATTTATGTGTGCAATTACCATATTAACAAAATATATATAAACGTAGATTATTTTATTAAAAAATTACAATTTCAGTTAATCAACTTTTTAATCTATGACTCTATAATATTTAAGTTTTATTAATAAGATTAAATAGAAAGAGATTGCAGACCCTTTTAGATTTATCAAGTATAAGTAATTTGTTTATATATATTTTATGTATTATTATATATATATTATTATTGTTATTAGTTATTTATTCAAATTATTAATTAAAGATTAGTATCATCCGGATTCAAAAGTGCAATGTCAACTCTACTGGTGACCAAAATTTATAGTTTTTTTTAATGACAATATGCTTTAATATGATTGCAATGAAAGTCACTAATATCTGTTGTTGATATAAGTCTATTTAAAAAAAAACAACAAATTTATTTTGGATAGCAAAACCTAAGAAACCACATACCATTTGAAATGGGAATGCCTGGCAATGATGCACAAGCGAAAGAAACACCTAGGAGGGAAAGATAAGCTCCTTACTGACTTTCATTAAAGAAATCGGACTTGGAGAAATGAGAAATACTCTTATCCGACTTAGGACCACAATAGATCGTTTAGGTCGCAGTATACTATCCCTTTCCCTAATAATAATTGTAAATAGCTTGACCTGTAGAACTTTTTTAAGGGTAAAAACGATATGTATTCTGCTAGGGAAAAAGGGAATATATACATAACATAAAGTTATATTAACTCTAAAATTAGTAACATAATTCATTAAAATCCAACGGTATAGAGAGTATATATTACTCAACAGTCTTAAAGAAATTGGGTCATACGATGTAGTAAACTTTGTATACTTACTTTTTGGCGACTGAAATATAATCTTTAATCAGATTATAAAAACAGTCATGTATTTAAGTTATACATATCGCATTATATCAAAGGTGTAAGTTAAACGAATAAAGTAATTAAAAGGCGTTTATATTATAAAATGAAAGATATGAAATCGAACATACTAACAGGAAATAGATGAGTTTAATTGGTTAATTAGCAATTTTTATTTTTAAATATTTTACCCATAGTTGCTATATCCGTAGCAGGGATTTACGATAGTTTGGGGTTTACATAGAATTTTATCAGTTATTGTATTTTATGACTCTGAAATTTCATTCGAATTGTATTTAGTATTGAAATAAAGAAATTAGCTTTATCATTTCAAAAGGAGTCTTTTTTTGATAAGATTGATCTGTGTCGATTATAAAATGTTAAACTAATTTAGTAATAAAATTAAAGTCACGATATTTAGTCATTGAAAATACTGCATTTCGCTTTTCGAAAATTCATTTATATACTTTAGTTAAAATCTGCTAAAATAGCTAGTTTTTTTGATTTACTATACGTTTGCTCATTGATTCTTTCGGTTGACTAGCGGTTGACTAGCGGTTGACAGTAAAGTGGGTAGGTGGATAAGTTCGAAGGGTAATTAAATTCTACTCAATAAGTTACGAAAACCATTTTGACTTTACATTTCTTGTAATTTTGGGTAGAAAGTGGTGCAGCTTGGAACCAAACGGACGTATTGATAAGTGCAAGTACTGGCCTCTATTAATGTTGAAAACATCGCTCAATGAATTAAAGAAGGAGGCACCCAAATACTTAAGACTGAAGTTCTATAATTAGAGTATATCAGCAGTGTGTTTTTTGACCTTACTGCTGAAGAAATATTAATTCAACTTCTTTTGACCTGCTGCAAAAAGTGTTCGCACATCAACTTTCGTCTGAAAGGTGACATCTAAGAGCCGACAAGTTTTATGCATTTATTTTCCGGTATGTTTGCATTTTCAGAAACCCAAAGAAAAGTTGCCTTGAAAGTACTACGTAATAAGTTGGTAAATCCTTTACATTCGTGAACTATCTTAAACGAAATGCAAACTTTCGAAATAGGTTTGATATTGATCTTACTGTAGACAAATGTATTGACTTCCTTATCCTGGAACTCCACGTTCGTAGCAAGAGAACAGGGTCTGACGATAGCAAAAATTTCTACCTCCTAAAGTATTCTACGTAGTAGATTCAAGTTTCTGTACCTCTATTCTGTACCTCTATCTCTTTTGACCCAATAGTGTAAATGGATATCTTGTGTTACGTTGCAATCAGCTTCGTTTTCCGATACTCTCTTGTGGGGGTTTTAGTTGCAAAAATGTTATCAACATATAAGCGATTATATAAAATATCTTGAGTTTGCAGAATCATATCGGAATTTAATATTGCAATGAAACTATATCGTATATATACAATATATACGTATGTTTACAATGTCTTTAATATATAAAGTCTTTCATTTTAGTCCATAATGACCTGTAAAGAAATCCGTTAGCAACCTTAAATTACATTTTGAGAATTTAAAAATGTTTTTGTAGGAGTACGGTGATATTAGTGCTTTACTTTGTCTAACTCCTGGGAAGTTTTCACATGTCTTTCATTATATATATACAATTTAATATTTAATGTCTTTAAGATATAAAATAGTTGCATTTTTTATTCATTTTACTAGAAGTACTACAATATAAATAAATAGATACATAATTCCGTTCATTTATACATGTATTGTGTTTAATTATATATATAGTTAAATGAATAGGTATATGTTATATATAGTTATGTATATACTGTTATATACCATATATAGTTAGTATATAAAACAAACTCGTTACGCTAATTTTAATATGTTGAGAAATGCTAGCTAGGATACGAAGTAAAGGCAGGCCAAGGAATGAAAATAATACTAGAACCACAAAAAAGTACATCTAGGTCGAAAATACTAAAAGTTCAAAATTTTATAACCATTTAGACTGAGTTGGAATTGTTTTCTTAATGTCTAGGTTGATATCAATAATTTTGAATCAGATCTTTCCGATCAAAGATGTTAACACAATGTGTGACTCATTAAATAAAATTCATTTGAATTCCCTCTGTTTTTAAAACTAAAATTATTGTTAATAATTTTCTTATCTGTGTGGGTTAATTGCTGATAATTATGTGGCAACACAATAATCTACTAAGAATCAAAAATGACTTAATATTTCAATTTCGAAATAAAAACAATACTATTTTTAGTTAATATTGTGATTTATTCTTTTAGTATTATTAACAAAAGTACCGTTATTCAATATATTTAAATGATTATAATTAAATTATCTGCTACTAATATTAAATAAATCTAAATTAGCAACAAAAGTAAATTTGAATATAGTCACTTCAATTGCTTACAAATATTCATCGTCACTAGATGTCGAAATTTAATTCGAATTGTCAAAAGTATGCGAAATAAAACCATGATCCTGTGTCAAAACAAGAGGATAAGATGGTCTCAGATGTTAGACTTTAAAGCGTTTTTGCATACCGAAAAGGGTTAAGCAGGTATTAACGTCAATTATAATTATTAATTATAAACAAAATAAAATAATTATAATTATAATAAAATAATTATTTACGATGCAAATGATTTTTGTTATAAAAATACCTTTAAACACGTTAAACAGAAAAGAACTATTATTGTTATATTTCGGAACAGTTGATGCAAATATTCTTAAAAGGATCTGGTTTACTAATAAAAAAAATATTTTTTTCTCATCTGATAATGTTTCATTCAAATTAAAGTATGAATTGTTGCAATAACTATGTCAGCTTATTCTCCAGAACTAAGTCCCTTTAACTTCTAGAACTTTTTAAAAATGTCTTTTGTGGAAAACGATTTTCATATAACGAAAAGATAATAGCTGCCATATATATAATATCGTTATTCGACAGGCCTGTTGTGAACATCAGTATTGTGATGACATTTATAAATTGTCGAATAGTTGAATTATGAAATAGGTCTATTGAAGTTGATATACAATAACATTTAGTATTCCAAAAGTTTGTTTTTCATCATAATCAAATTTTGTCACAAATGATTATGTTGAGTTGCTTTGGATTCAAAAAATCAGAAATTCTTTTAAATTATTTTTAAAATTTTTGTTGATCCCTTCTTCCATACTTTCCTGATTTATCAGTGGTCATAAAAATGTAATTTGGTTATTTTACTATCTTTAGAACTATTATTTTTTTACTTATTTCAGAAATTTTTGACTAGTTTTGCTTTTAATTTAATTTTGAATGTTCTCTTTGATAGGTGTTCATGTTCAAAATTGATGTTCAAAATTGTAGATTAAAAACCTGTAGCCTTTCTAACGATTTCATGTAATATTAATTTGTTGTAGCTACAAAAATCCTAATTTTTCTAAAGACTACAAAATTAATTAATTTACCATTGCTTTTGTAGCTTATTCTTACTGCAATTAAGTCTTCAGTACATAATTATCTTAGTTAAGTAGATTTATTTAGAACGGTCTGAGGACTCATCGCTGAAGATTTATACTCCGTTTACTCCACTCAGCCTTTAGATACATTTATTAAAGGCTTAAACATGTTATGTAAATGATAGCACTATTTACTATCCCTTAGATTATAGATGGAATTCAATCCTTCCAAAGTAAAGGTATGGAAGCATGCCGTATGCTGAACATGAGGTATCTGTTGAGGTCGTTCCCATTCCACACTCACAGAGGATCCGTACCTTGCAGACTCTTTGTTGGCCTATTAAGTGGGTATTTCAGCTAGTAACTTTGATATCTTAGTTCCACATACGCAGAGTCTCAAGAATGTGTTTAGGTTTTCTGATTGTGCAAGGAATCCAGCTGACGGCCTTTAGAAGAGATGCAAAAACTGTTGCATTGTACAGTCTCCTTTGAACAATTATTATCCTTACAAAAGATAAGAGTTGTTCTCAATACTAATTTATTGTATAAAGTGTATTGCGTGGATCATATGTCAGGAATTGTCACAGTTTTGTTTGCTTCTGTTATTGTGTTTCGTGAATTTGCATTTTCAGATTTTACAAACTACTACCAAAAACATAGAAGCAATTCACCATTACGCAATTAATGGTGATTATTTTACAATCACTTGCATATCTACAGTTAGACATATTATTTTATATTACTACCATTATTATCTCTAATTAATTATGTATATTAAGTACTCAATAAAGTTACTAAAGTAGCAATAATAAATAAAAAAAACAACTTTTTTCTATGTTCTATATAAAAATGTATTTTTGATTAAAGTTGGAAAAGAAAGTAAGAAAGAGAATACATGTTTAGTTTGGTATATATGATATAAAATAAACACATGATTCTAATTTAAAGCTTTGCTTTAGGATCGCAGCAGCCAAAAGCTGGATTTTGATTAACGCATGCTCCAGTGACTTCATTGAAAAACATACCCTTAGAACAATTGCCTGTACTTTGCTCTACACCATCTTTACAAACCAAGTAACCAGAACATCCGCTTGTGGAATACTGATTAACGAATTGGGATTTTGAACCAGAGCAACGATCGCAATCATTTCGTGCAGACTGACGACTTACGCAGGATTGACTGATTGTATCGTAGAATTGTCCTTTTGTGCACAGATAGTATTGGTAGTTGGTGCCATCACATTGATAGTAACCAGCACAGGCGACTGCTGATTTTCTAACTCCCCTTCTTGTACATGGACCACCACTTGCAATGGCACCAGTCAGTAAAGGATCGTGAGTTACCTAAGAACAGAAATTGTTGATAATAAATTATATAAAATAATTTTTAATTTTTTCTACAAACCTGTGAGCATACAACTTCAGTTGGATAATCGCATTTGCTGATTTTAACATTGTAATCATAACCAGTTGGACAAGTACCGCTTGTCATCACATTATTCACACATTTATTCCAATTAGTGCAAGATGCTGGACTACCGAAATATATACCATTTTGTATATAATTGCATAGGTTCACAGTAACTACACCTGGAGCATCTGCAGTACTTGCGCTAGTGGTGCTGCATGGATATTGATTGGCAAACACACATTTTTGTGCTACACCATTGAAATGATATCCGAGAGGGCAAGCGCTACGTTCAGGACCTTTAGCGCTGCAATAATAGAAATCCGAACATGATTCAGATACTGGTGCCCATGTACCCACAGCACGTCCATCGCATGGATTGCCTACAGATCCATTGAAACAGTTTACCTGACTTGCGGGTACACATTGTTGCGTGTCCTTGTTGAAACTTTGAGAAGCAGAGCATGTTTGTAATAGAGCTACACCTCCAGTACATAAATAGTAAGAGTCACATGCGGACGCGGAAGCAATTTTTGTTTGATCAGGTAATAATGCACAAATATGGTTCATATTTGGTGATGAAGCTATGCAGCCAAGCACCAAAGCCAATAAGCAGGCGAAGCTCAAGGATTTTTTAGCTACAAAAAAAAAGCAGTGTTTATATTTATTTAATATAGTATCTAATATATATATTTTTTTTAAAATTATTTCTGCAGGTGTTTTAAATATCCTTTAACATTGAACTTGCTTTAACTCACCTAACATGTTGTTGACTTTTTGTTTAATAACTTGTTATTAACAAAAATTAGTTATGTTCGTTTATAAAGAGTCGTATTCAAAAACTGAATGCTATTGTCAAGGAAATGTCTTATATTTATATTAAAATTACATATGTCATATCAAGAATATTGAACTAATGAAACTGTGAAACAGCCATATGAGTTAAAGACATATTTATAGACTGCTGTGAACACTCTACAAATTTTATATATAATTTAGAAATAAAAGTATAATGCACTACTAAATATTTTAAAGTAATGCAAATAATAATTTCAGATATAAATTTCTATAATTCATATTATCAATTTTTTTATATATATAGATTTATAGATGTTAAAAATTAATGAAATATAGATTATTAATTATTATATATCGACAATATTAATACTCCTGAAATATTAAAAGAATCGCACGCAACACAAAATATATATAATATATATAAGAATAAATATTTTTGAATAATGTCAAGTTATTCAAAATAATATAATGCTTTAAATATATATTTTGAATAGTATAGTATGTTTTGAAATCAAAATATTTTATTTGCATAATTAGTTAAAGAAGTTAATTTGATAATTAATTAATTTGTTATAAATTCAAACTTATTTAAGAAAGTTCGTCACGTAATTTGGACCGATAGATGGTCCGATTCATACAAACTATTATAAAGATTATTTATGCTAAACTGAACTGCTATTCACTTAATATATAAAAATAAAACTTTAATATTTAACTAATTAAATAAAAATATTTGCTCGGGTGTCCAAAACAATGCAATAAATAAATCTTAAAAATATTTCGAAATGCAACTGAAAGTAGATACTTGATAATATCAAAAGCAATCGTTTAGTATAATGCTGATATATTATCATTAATAGCGTAACGATTCTAGTTGAATTTTAGTCTCTCTGATTAAGTATATACATATTTTATAAAATTATAGTTTTGTGGTTATAGTGAAATGATTTAATTATTTGCCCCTTCCTATAGTTTGGTTATAGTTTGTGCCAAAGGTGTGCATTGCTACAAGCAAAGGTGTAGCGTATAGCTTATTAAGTCCCCCAAAATTTGTATGATAAGACTTAAGCTTTCAAATTTTATGTCACAACAACTATCTATTAGAACTGTGAATCTAATGAAATGAAATGGACTTATTTTCATCGGCAAACTTCATATAAACAGTATTAACTTACTTACCTAAATGACCTACAGTGATAATATTGTTTAGGTTCTCATTATAATATACATACATAGTCGCTAATTGTTATAAACATATCGTGTTGTATCTAAAGCTAATGCTGTACAAATAAAGTTATTAAATGGCGCTTATATTACAAATAATAGATATGAAATCTAATTTATTAGCAGGAAATAGATTTTTGATTTTTATATTAGACCTGTAATCACTATATCCGTAACAGGGATTTATAAACGTTTCAGTGTGGGGTTCACACACAATTTTATCAGTTAATATATTGAACGGCTTTGCGAAGTTGCAAGTCTTTTGGAAAATTACTAATTATTGTCCAATATTGAAATAAAAAACATATTGATTAATAATATCAAAAGTAGAGTTTAAGTATTTGATAAAAATAATTAGTATCGGTATTTAAACTTTTTATTCTTTTTGTGGTAAATCAGGATATCTTATCAGTTAATATTTTAAAACTTTTTCTTTATACAAATCATCTACTTTTGATATTCTAATTATATGCTGAGTGCAACAGATGATTGCTTTGAAAGAGTTCTACTAAGTTCTATTAGGTTATAGTAAGAGGTTGGTGGAGTGTGATGCCGTTGCTGTTTCAAACATTGCAAAATTAGTCGCAAATTGCCAAATTAATCAAATAGTATATTTTTTTAAATAGAAGATAAGTCATCAGATAAATACTTGATAGATAAATAATAGATTCATAATGCTATTTTGGAAAGATATGCGTATTGTGAGGAGCGAAAATGTTATCGTTTAACAAAGATGAAACTTCTGCTTCATGGTATTTTGACCATATACAACTAATACGACATGGTATATAGTCTGATTATCTGTTTAATGTTACCTTTTTAAGATAAAACTATTCGGAAATGTAGCCGCTAGGAGGTTATTTTTCAACAACTGGGTATTAAGTTTTGACACCATTTTAAAATTTTGGACTTATAATCATGCTAAAAATGTGTATTTGCCTAAATAGTATTTGAAATTTTAGTTTACGTTTTTTAATTAAATGCTTACACCGATAAATTTCAGCGAGTGGTTATAGTTTTGTAACATTTTCTTTAATCTTGTAAATTATAATTTCTTTATTTTATAGTGGTGTAGAAGATAACAATGTTTTGGGTTTTTAATAGAGTAAAACATTATATAGCAGTAAACTTTCTTTTGCTACCACCAAACAAAAGCCATTTAACTATACAAATAATGTTTAAATTATCCCTAGTTAAGTACTTCCTTATATAAGGTAGAAGTATGAGTTCCCGAGTTTCGCAGTTATAAATATTGTGACAACAAGTTTCTTGTGTTTCTAGTCAGAGACAACAAGTCATCACCTTAGAGAGACCCATAGTTTGTTACTATTCTCTCTGCGGTGAAGGGATTAGAATATTCCCGAGGTAAGGCATGCCTGTCGTAAGAGGCGACTAAACTCCTGAGACCAATCCCGCACATGTGTGCGAAGTGCGCATGGTACTAAATGGCACGGCTGTCTTTAGCCAGACATTAACTTGAAGTGTAGCTGCAGTTGTTTCGTCTGTTATATTGTTATATTATTAACAATTTTTAATCAGCTGATGAATTAGATTCACAGAATTGTATGACCGATCTGGTTCTTAAATGCATAGCTGTGGTTTTATTTGCAATGATACAAACCTGATTAGGCACTCAATGACGCTCGTAAATTTTTGTATTAAAATTTTTTGAAAGACAATCTTTAGAAATAGAGATATAAGATATATTGTGTTTTATTTGCCTGGAGCAGATTTTATTTCTTGAATAATTGGGTAAATATAATTAAGAATAAAACAAATATATATAAAACATCGATTTTTTAAAAAGTAAAGCAAGTTTCTTGCTCCTTTCTGTTTTATCTGATCTGAATTTTTGAACTTCAGTCGTTTCCAAAATAATTACCTGAAGTTTTTGTATATCAGACATTATGCCACCTTCAAAAGTCAGTGTAACATATTGCAGACATATTTAAACTATTGAACAGTATTCACGAATATTTCTACGATTTCCAGTTGTTTGTTGTTGCTAATGTTAATCCGGATGTTGTGGTGATTTTAAAGTCGTGTTTCGCTAGAATAATACATACTATCGCTAGAAATAAGACTCTGATCTGGTGTCGCAATGGACCTTATTAGTCTATTAGAAAGCTTTTCCATTTTTATCACGAAGTCTCATGGCTTAACATTAGACGAATTTATAAAACTTGAATTATGATTTACTAAATTATATTTCGTATAAACATAAAAATATATTTATAAGTATATCTATGTTGAATTTTGTCACTATACCATTTTAGAAAATAATTTTAATGAACGTTTTCTTTAATTTATTATGTTTAGTATTATTGTTTACTACTTTCAATAAGGTACATGAATTGATTTTGCTTCTATAATAGATTAATATTGCTGCCAAATATTAACAGTAAATTTCGATTTATTAGATAATAATCTTTAAATATATTGTGAACAATTCTATTAAAGTTTCTGAAATAACTCTTATCTATCTCTATTGTTGTTATATGTGTATATTGCAAGTTAGATTTCTTATATTTGCTTTATTTGCATTTGAACGACATAATAACTTCAGAGCTGTATTTATTTTATATAGAATGAAGATATTTTTTTCATAATTTTGTAAAACTCTGCAAGAATAATTTATGCGACAGTCGTTGATGCAACAGTTGTTGAAGCAACTGTGGTTGAAGCAACGGTTGTTGAAGCAGCAGTGGTTGAGGCAACAGTTGTTGAAGCGACAGTAGTTGACGCACCAGTCGTACCAACAGTTGTGGAGGCACCAGTTGTTGATGCTACTGTTGTGCCAGTACCAGGATTAGCAACAGTTGTTGAACCGGGACCAGGTGCTGTTATACCTGAAGTAGTAGCAGTAGTAGCAATAGTAGATGTAGTTCCTGGATCACAGCAAAGGAATTCTGGGTCTTGATTAACGCATGCACCTGCGACTTCATTGAAGTACATTCCAGTAGTGCAGAAACCTGTACCTTGTTCAACACCTTTAACACAGTATAAGTAACCAGTGCAACCGGTAGTCGAGTACATGTTGACAAAGCTTTCTGTAGTACCGTAACAACGATCACAATTGTTACGAGCAAGCAAACGATTAACACAAGTTTGACTGACTGTATCATAATAGAGTCCACTAGAGCACATATAGTATTGGTAGTTACTGCCATCGCATTGGTAGTAACCAGCGCAATTAGAGGCAGCTTTCATTGCATTGAGAGTTGTACATGGACCACCACTGGAAACAGCACCAGCAAGTACGGGATCGTATGTGACCTATAAACAAAGTATATATATTTCGATTTATTTATTATATTTTATTTATAATCTTTTTAGAAATAGAATTTACCTGAGAGCAGTTAGTATCGATTGGATAATCACATTCACCGATTTGCACATTGTAATCAAATCCAGTTGGACAGTCGCCACTGATCATCAAATTATTGGTACATTTATTCCAGCCAGTACAAGAAGTTGGATTACCGAAATACATACCGTTTTGCATGTATGTACATAAATTAATGGAAACAATGCCAGGTGAATCATCACCATTATCTGTTATACCGCATGGTAATTGACTGGCAAAAACACAAGATTGTGAGGCAGTATCAAAGTTTTCACCATATGGACAGCTGCTACGTAAGGCTCCAGTTGCGCTGCAATAGTAAAAATCGCTACAGGTACCAGGTACTGATACCCAAGTACCTACTGTTGCACCCGAACAAGGATCTTCACCATTGCTATAACAATTCATTTCTGATGATGGAACACAAGTTTGATCATCTTTGCTGAAATATTGGGTAGGTGGGCAAGATTGTAATGTGGCTACTCCGCCAAGACATGAATAATATGAGTCACATGAACTGCCAGTGGATATAAGTGTATTATCTGCTACCAATGCGCAAACATGATCCATATTAACTGTTACTTGAGCATTTGAGCTGATGGCCAAAGCCAAAAGAAAGGCGATACGAATTCCGACGCCAGCTGCAATTAAAATTTGTTGTACCATATTAAAATAATATTAGTAGGATTCATTTCAATAATCATATAATTAAAAAAGAAATAAACATACAGTAGTTAGTATGTATACATATATATATCCTTTATCTTTGTACTTACCGAACATTTTGACTTGTTGAATATTTTTTTTACTATTATTTTTTAATTGTACTCAAGTACGTTAAGAAAGAAAATCGTTTTAAAACTGAATTATTTGTATATATCAAACCCGTATTTATATGCTAAACACTTGCCAAAATAATAATTAATTTAAAAAGTGTAAAAATAGTTGACTTTTTACATTTGTCTCAATTGATTTAATAAAAAATTCTTTGCGATAAAATTTTGATATTCCAAGAATTTAAAAAAGAAACTCCAAAATAATTGATCGTAGGAAACTTTCATATATGAACGTCGTGCAAGGTTGCCCAGTATCACTGGGCAATGCCTTCCGATATTAAACTCAAATAGTCAATTTGTCATTAAATGTCAATTGAATCGATATAAATATAGAAAACATATATTTATATGTAATATCTAAACGTAAAAAAAGTAATACATCAGTCCTGAGATATATTTGTTAAGATATCTTCTTTTATTTGTTTTAAGTTTTAAGGTATTATCTCAAGTGGCCACTTGAGCATTTATTAAAAGCCTTATCAACAATTACTAATTAGTTACATTTTTTTCTGCTGAAACTAGTTACTATTCTGATTTTGTTAAAATAATAATTAAATTCATTTAACTAAAGATATTAGTACGATAATTGTGTGCTTTTATTAAATTATAAGGAATTTAAATAAATTGTACGTAAATAAGAAATTTAGCTATTGGATTTATAATTTTAAAAAACATGACAAAAACAAATTTTATATTGCATTTTACAAATTCTATAACTATGTAGAAATATAATATTTCTAATAAAATAATAAACCAAACAGTGAAATTATTGTGCAGTGAAAGCCTAGTTAAATGGATCCTACCATTAGCGAACATTCCTCTCATAAAAGGACACAATATGTTATTTAAATGAATAGTTCTGGTTTCGTCGGTGTTCACTAAAAAAGGATTTATTTTATATTATTAACTAAATTTATTAAATACAAAGCGTGAAACAATATATAAATGCAATATGTTATTTGTTGAATGGTCACTTTAGGAAGCTGATATTTCTATCATAAGCAAAAACTCGACCAAACTATACTTTTAAATTTTCATTTTTATTAAATCAATATCTCAAAATAATTATTTACGAAATAAATTATTTCGTAAATAGTCTCAAAAATAATTATTTATGAATAATTAAATACAAGAATTATTTCCAAGACCACTGATGATGGGTATTTGGCAATACTCGAAACAACTGTATGGTCAGCCAAAAATTCAATTAATTAAAATAATATAAAAAAGAATTTTTGTTGTTGTAGTTCAATACTGTTCGAAAAAATCTCTTTATAAATCAATATTAAAAATTAAAAATATTAACTCACAGTTCAGAAACGTATAGTTGTGAGATATTATCTACTAACTTTACCCACAGATGCAGAGCTAATATACCCATACATATTAATATTCCTTAGGCTTAGAAATTAGAGACTAAGACATATACTTAGTCTTAGTCTTTAAAATTGTATAAAATTTTGATATTTTAAAAATGCATTATACAGTATAATCAACAACAAATTTTCCTGCCTTATTACAAGACAAATATATTATATTTTTCCAGTCATCATTTCTTAGCATAAAAACACAGTATATAGCTTGTTATTAAATACAGGTTTAGTGTAGTTCCCTATCTCATACAGTATCTATCGAGTCTTTTATACCTTGCTTACTTCTCATTTTAACATATACCTTTTCTTATGTATCTTACTATGTATTTAATATTTAAAGGAAAATCATATAAATGAAGACATAGCCTCTATATTGAATTCGTTTTGTTTTTTCAAATTTTACTATATCTTCGCCTGAAGAATGTCTAAAAAACCCATCACTCCCCATGATGTTGTATTTTACATCTCGTTTTCTTACAAGTCAAAATATTTTGCATAGTATTTTCCCTTCGTATACCAGAAATATTTTTTTGAAAAGTCCTCCTTGGCACTTTATGCCACTGTATTCGTTATGCTAATTTTTAATAGAATTTCAAAGCAAATCCTTAGCTATTATGCGATACAGTTCTTTCATGCCTTGCTGCATTAGCTAAGCGTAAAAGACCGACTTTTGTGATATTTTTAAGAAAAATTTTATCAAACAAAACTCGTTTTCTGTGCACAATTCTACGATTTTCAAATGCAAAAAAATTGGGAAATGACGCCTTGAAACGATATAATCATATGCGGGACACAGCTGCATAACCCTGCTAAAGGGTTAATTTAACGAAGATATTCATATGAAATGATAGTTTGTTAAACAAAATCAATCTTAGTTTTTATGTAACAGTAAATATTCGGTATTAGATTTCAGTTATCTGAACTTTATATTGCAAATTGAAGACTCAAATCTTTATGCTATCGGTATGTGTAACATTTTTATGACCATGGAACGAAATTTGATCTACACATGTAGTAGTAGTAGAATTTTGGCTTAATTTATTAATTAACTTTAAAATTTGGTGGATTAAAAAAAATTTTTAAACTCATAATTATATATATAAATTAAATTTATGTCGTTTTCCATAAATTAGATTTATTAAGCGTAATAAAATTACGTTCATTATTTTATTATTTAAAAATAATAAAATTATTGCTCGAAAATTTTATGTTAGTGCTTTATTGCAGTCTTATTTTTGAATCGAAATCATGTATTTATGTTGGCAAATATAAGTGAATATTGCTATGTAAGGCTTAAATCCCAAAAACCTTGAGTAAATCTATTTAGGAGTAACAGTAAACAGTTCAATATACCAGTTGAGACCTAAAACAAAAATCAAAACCGAAAAATTATGAAAGAGGAAAAAGTAAATTGAAAAAAAACAAAATTAATTTTAAGACATTATCTATTAAATTAATAACTCTTTTTTATATTTGATTTACATTAATACATATATAGTATAAAATTTTATTTTTATTTTAAATATGTATCTCTACCTTAACAATTTTAGTTCCTAACCAATTATTCTTTTAAGCATTAAATGGAAATAAATAATGGAAACAATTAAAAATAAAAATATAATTAATTAATTCAATTATTCTATAGCTGGTTTATGATTTCGTTGTAATATAAACACTAATATAAATAAAATTAAGAAAACTCCAGAAAAATGTGCGAACCTTGGGTCAGTTGATTAAAGGGCGCTGACTCTGAGGTGCAAATTTGGCAGGGTACGAGTTCGATTTCTGGTACTTGCCACCGATGATGGCTATTTGGCAATACTCCAAGCAGCTGTAAGGTCAACCAAAAATTCAATTAATTAAAATAATATAAAAATGAATTTTTGTTGTTGTAGTTCACTACTTTTCCAAAAAACCTCTTTAAAAATGTTTTTTTTTTGTTATTAGCTAGTTTGTTTTTATCCCACAAATATTATTACAAATTAATATAAATGATGGGTTTTTGCAGAAATATCAATAATAAAAGTGATATATGACTGATCACCTGCAAGTAATTTCATATATTATATTCTATTTTTTAAAATAATTTATATTTATTAATTCAAAATATTATTTCCGAACAAAGTTACAAAGTCGAACTTTCAATTATAGAACTTATACTATATTTAGAAATTATTTTGGGAAATTTCACATTATTCGAAATTTAAGGGGTTACGATATACATAGTTATTTTTGTACAATATTTACCAAAAGGATACATATATATATATTCGTTTTGATATATGAATATAAGTATATATTTTACTATGATTGAAATTTTGTAGTATTTCAAATAAATTATTATTTATTTTATTAATTGTTTTTAAAATAGAAAATGCGTAGTTCATGTTTATTTTGAACTGTCAAATTTTATCAAATATTTATTTTATAACACATGATAAATAAATATTTTTTGTATAAATAGCCGTAATAAACAAAATATACTATACCGGTTTATTAGAATTTAATAAGCCTTTAAAAATTTATTTTTGTATAATATTTTTGCACATTTATTGAAAATTATTAACTCGACTTATTGTTAAAGTCACAACATTTATGTTAATTTATTGTTTATATATATTTTTACAGAAATATATATATATACTTATATACATATAAACCTATGTACTCAAATATTTATACATATTATATATTTTAATATAACTAACTCTCCAAATCCCATGAGGAACATTACTATTGTTATTAATGGTATTAGGTGGAGAAGACTATATTTCCCAACTCAGATGGTGTATTGTACTAACGACAAATGTTAATGGACGTGATCATATTTTGTAAGTCAGAGCATGTTTAAAGCATGTATATAAATGTATATATCTACATATATATCTATATATGTATACAGTAATTTTAATATTCATATCAGAAAAGTAGCACGCTCTACTCTCTGATATACCTATTTTGTTAAGATTGTACCTCAACTCGCAGTAAGCTGTCAGTAGGTCAGTAAGACTTTTAATATCTCTTTACTCATCGAAAGGATTATATTTGAGTCAGAATTCTATGGGTTAATTAATCTGTCAGTAAATTTTGACCATTACAGTTTTTTAAGAGATTTTTGATATGGGACTCCATAAAATATTTCAGTCAATTTGCTCATTAAAATTTCAAATTTATTTAGAAATATTTATTTATACTTATTTATTTACAAGTCTGCGAATAATATAACTACATATAAAGTCACGTATATTTGTGTGTTTATATATTTTCAGCAATTAGTAACTGTCTATATGTGAACAGTAACTCGTGGTTAAGGATTGCGTTGCCATGAATACTTTTAAAATACAGGTGATGTTGCCAATATGTGAATATATAAGCTCTCATTGGCATATATAAGTGATGTTTCAGCAATCGTATTGAACAATTCAATTTTTGAACCGAAGTCAATTGATTGAAGATCTTCTCATTTTATTAAGAGTTAGAAGACTTCTTTTGGCTTTGTGAGTATATTCTAGATTTGTCATTAACTGTAGTGAACACTTTAGTTCCTTCAGCAACTAGATTTGGGAAATCATTATTATTACCTACTTCGAACTTAGTGGTATTTGTAATATTTCGCAGCTGGTAGTCAATCTTATGGACATATTAGATCCTATGTGATATTATAATTACCTTATTTACTTATTATTACTTATTTAACTTTCTTGCAAGCTGCAAGTTGGAGTTTCAAGTAAAACGTGTTCTTTGATGAGTTTTTAGATATGTTTACACTAACGAATGTATAGCCATAGTTTTCATATGTAAACGCCTTTTCCTGTTGAAAAGGTTGTATAAATGACACCCTTCAAAAAAGTGCTGCTACGTAGCATGAGTTAAAGAATAAGTTGGTATTGACTAATTCTACTTTATATATAGACTTTATATTTATTCAATAATAAGTGAATCTTTTTTTAAATAATTATAACTTTTTAATATGAAATATTTAATTAATTTGTTTTATTAAAACAAAATTTAATTAACTTTAAAATCGAGTTAAATAGTAAATAAATACATTTTTTAGTTGCTATTTCTGAAAGTAGGGTAAAATAATTGCTTTGTAATATATAGGAACACCTAAAAGTAATTAATCTGTTCTGTCTTCAGATATAATTTTACTGTCTAAATGGATTTTCAAAAATTTATATCATGTTCAATGTGCAAATAAACGTAAGACATCATCGTAAAAATTAACTATATATAAAATATATTTTAGTAGCATTTCTCGGAAAGAAATTTAGTTTGATGGACAGTATCGAACGGGTAGTATTTAAGGCTTTGGCTGCAGCGTAAGTTATAAACTAAAAATTCAAAACTTGATAGACAAACTTACGCGACGCTTCTTAATATTTGACGTTTAAAATGTGTAAGTTAAACTTATGGAAATAAATTTGTTTATAAACTTCATCTGAATATTTAACAACAATTATATTCTATTATGATATCGCATATAGTTATGTTATCTGAGAATTTCAGATTAGTGTACTATTGTAAAACTTGTAAAATAATTATATGACCTTATAAAAAAAAATCATACAAAACAAATAAAAAGTAAAATTATAAAATGATTTTAAATTAAAAATATAAAGAAATAATAAATAATTAAAAAATTTAAAGTAATTTCCTTGCAAATTTTTTATTGCTCATATGTTATAATAAACGACATTCCTAAAATGTGAAATTTACTCTTAAGTTTATGCGAGTTCATACGAGTTCATAAACTAGCATATTTCTTTTATCTTCAAAATATTTTGTTATATGCAATAAGTATTTCTTTTATTTTATTTTTCTTCAGTTTTGATAAAATCGTTTTCCGCAACGCTTTTTCTATGCTTCATCTTAGCAGGAAACACAAAAGCTGATTTCGATCCGAATCTCATATGTGAACTACTGCCTGACAACACAAAAATAAGAGATCCACGTGCCTGTAACGCTTGGATAGAGTGCACAAATAATGAAGCTGTTAGTGGTACTTGTGATGGTGAGCTTTTCTATGATCGTGAGACTGAAGAATGCGTTTCACCCGACAGTATAAAATGCATATCTAGTAATCCCTGTGCTGCAACAGCTGGCACTGATGGTTTCGTAGCAGATCCCTATTCCTGTAACGGCTACTATTATTGTAGTGCAGGAAATGCAGCACATGGAGAGTGCTCATCTGGTATGAATTTCAATCCAGGCACGCAAGATTGTATACGTAATTTTCCCTGCCCTGCCAAATTAAATCCGGACAGTTATTGTAATATTGTGCCTGATGGTGTTTTTATTAAGAACTCTACCGATTGCATTGGCTGGCAAATGTGCTGGCAAGGTGTAGTTATTAATGGCACTTGCCCTGATTACTTTTATTTCAATCGGCTAACCAGCAAATGTGATTATCCACAAAATGTTGACTGTATACAACCAACAACGGAACCACCAACAATGCCTGCTGGGGAATCCTGCACAAATATTAATGATTTCATCTCAGATGGTTACTCATGTAATGGTTACTTTTTGTGTCGTTCCTTAAAAGCAGGAACTACTGACGACTACGACTTAGTACATGGTGTTTGTGATAATGGACGGTTCTTTAGCCCTGAAAATGGTGGTGCTTGTGTTAATCGAACACAGATCTATTGTCCTTACAATCGTTGTGTTGATATTGGCTATGGAGGTATTAAGCTGGTTAATGAGTCGAGCGATGATTGCACTGGATTTGCTTTATGCCAAAATGGTGAACAAATCAGTGCTGGTACTTGTCCCGATGGTGAATATTTCAATGAAGTGACTCAGCTTTGTACAACAGAAGTTATATCTTTTCCGGCATGCGCGTTATCTGCGGAAGAAACAACAACAGAGCCAACAACAATAGTCACTGAATAAATTTTATATAATAAGTATAATTAACAAAAGTTAATAAAATTTTAAAATTTAACATACACCAAGTTTTTATTGGTAATGTTGTCGTTGCATTAGTGTAGTTCATTTAACTCTGGTAGTCTGTTTTTTATCAAATTCTATTCATTTATTTGAATTGACCATGATTGATGTTCTGAATATTATTATCGAAGGTTGTGGTGGTAGCATTCTGATAAGCTTTGTCGTGCTATTATACATTGAAATAATTGTGTGCTACCGGTGAATGCCGGAAGCAGTAACTATGTGTTCTCTGAAGTATTGAGATAGTTTTCAAAAAAAATATAAAAGTTACTTTCTACCTGAAATCTTATCTTAAAATTATTTATATATTCACAAAGCAAGTTGTGGGGTAAATCGATAAGTATATGCTTAATAAAAGGTATATTTATTATTTTACCAAGTATTGGTAAATAACTGAAAAAATTAAATCAATATAATCTCTTAAGTGATATACATTTGATATCAGTCTCCGGTTTAGATTTGTAGATGGGTGCATGCATAATTAATATATTTCTATACTTGATTAACCAATTTAAGTTCTTCAAAACAAGTTGTTTATGGTATTTCTTCAAGTAACTTATTTTTGTTTGAGAAGTAACTTAGTGCTGAGCACTTCAAAACTGGTGTGCAACTTCTCAAAGATCTTGCTGAAAAGAATATGGTTCATTAAATATGGATCACAGAACACAACGGATTTGAGGGAAACGAGAAAGCCTATGTATTAACCAGAAAAGGGGCGGCCTCATACTGTATTGGGCTAGTACAGTATGAGACAGTATAAGAATGAGAATTCTGTGGTTCTTCATGAAGCTTTTCTAAACTTAAAATTAGTGAATGACTGAAAAAAGCAGCTTAGACTGATTAAGATAATGTAATTGCCTGCAGACAAGCTAAAGAATTCATGCCAAATCGATCAAAAGCTAGAACTAGGGAGTTTCTAATGCTGAACAGAAAAGGTATCCGATTTGTCACAAGGTTTCTTACTGAACATTTCGGAGTCAAAAAACATATATCGAATTTTGGTTTTACAAAGGACGATAGCCTTTGTAATACATTCTATGCCACTGTTATAGTCTCGACAGATTCAGACTTCGGTACTTATCAACTGCCTATCCACATAAATCGGAATTGGGCAACATCTCTACAAGGAACATAATGACATTTTTAACTGCTACGTAACTGTGGAACTAAAGTGGGGTTCGTCACAATAATCCTCAGAGAATGCAGAAACATGGTGACATTATTCCCAATCCATTCAAAACCTAATCTAATCTAATTTAGTACTGAAGTTATAAGAAAACATTCAATTCCTTTAGTAAACGACTTATAAAATATTTTTAAATACATTTTTGTTTTGTGTGTTCTTGATATATATTTACTGATTATTTCTATATTTTATTTTTTGAAAATTGAAAATAAATCTTATAATATTTTAAATATTTAAAATAATTTTCACTTTAAAAAAATGATAAAAACTTTTCTTGTTAAGTTATATCACTTAACATATTTGGATAAGAGAAAACTAAGAATATGTTTTTGTATCAAATACTTTATAACATTATTTGAAAGAGTTGGAATATCCGGATAAACTATCCAAAGTAGCTCTTAGTCATTCTAAGAATGACTACTGTTTGAGTTTATTTAGAAACTAATATAAATTTGTAATGCCTTCAAAGTACTTTCTGTCAACAAACAAATCTCTCGAGCGTCTTGGGACCCACGTCACTGTTAACAATTATGAGTTTGAAGTTGTGAAAGACTTTGTTTATTTTGGAACTAGTGTAAACATCAAAAATGACGTCAACCTAGAGACTCAACGAAGCAACACTCTTGGCAACAGATCTTACTTCGGACTAAGTAGGCAATTGAAAAATAAAGCCCTCTCTCGACAAACAAAAATCACGCTCTAAAAATCACTTATCAGGCCTGTCCTGCTGTAAGGTGTAGAAGCTTGAACAATTACCAACAGTGATGCAAAGACGTTATTAGCATTCGAGGGAAAAATTTTTCGGAATATTTATAGTCCCTTACGCGTTGGCGACGAGTATCAAATTAGATGAAACGATGAGCTGTATGAGTCCTTTCGCATCTTCGGAGTGGGTGGCCAACGATTTAAGGGCGCTTGATACTGCCAACTGGCGACAACAAGCAAGTAATTTGGCTGACTGGCGGAGGCTATTCAACGCGGCCAAGGACGACTCAAGTCTGTAATGCTCAGCTAAGTAAATAAGTAAGGTTTCAAATGTTCTAACTACACAAGAAGACCTTTTTGATGTCTTTACGCACTTTATTTGTTTATTATAAATATATTTTCGGGGTAATAAATATATATAAACCACAGATGTCGATGATTACTGTCATTGTGACAACACAATGTCTCCGCCACAAATTCAATTTGGTAAACCTGACATTTATAATCCAAGACTTGATAATTTAAGTAGACGTTGGACTTGTTCATTGTTATATTATTGTCATGTATGATATGTCTAAGTTTTTAGAACAATTATATATTAATATTTTTAAATTATAAATATTTATTATTTATAATAATTTTAATGGTTATGATGGTTTCAATATATTTGTAATAAATCTAAAATGTCATAGAAAATTTAAATAAAATTTTTGATTTAATTAATGAAGACATAAGTATTTATACATATGTTTAATGTAAATCATTCAATCATCTAACATGCTACACAGTTTTTGGAAATTATTTTCATATCATAACTTATCGACTAAAAATTATTTGCACGGTGCTAATCAATTAATTTAAAAAATTGGTTCATAAAACTTGTATCAATGAACCGATGAATTCCAGAAATGGTTCGATTAAAAATTAAATCAGTAACATGTATTCGAGCCAAATGAGTAATAAGTTTGAAATATCTTGTTTTGTGATAATGTCAATGATAATAACAAAGTTCAAGTTCTTGATAAGCAAACATGTACGGCCAAACGATATGGCTAAAGTTCTTCTACCGCGCGAAGTTCTCGAGGCGGCCTATGACAAGTGAAAACAGGTTCAATGAGTTGTGAAATAGGCGTGTTGTTTCTAATCTTCAGTATTTGTACTGAATGAATTTCCCTACAATCATTATTGGCTATTGTTTATCTCAACTCAGATATGAAACAATAGCAATAAATTATTCACTTAATTAGCTTGCATAAAAAATCCAAAAAAGCAAAGCTTGCAATTATATTGGTTCAATGTAGTGGTTATAGTGGTTCAATAATCTATGAATTCTGGGAAATTATAAATATTTTATTTTTAAAAGTAGATTTTAATTTTTGTACTATGTTTTTTTATTAAATACAAAAGATTAGTCGTTTTGATCTATTTATTTCTTTGAGTAAAACTAGCAAATGTATATTTCCCATCACCAAATAAAATTTTATGTATTATATATTATATAAATTATGTTTACAAATTGCATTTAAGCTTGGCAGGCTACATAGTTAATATTCTGTGGCGTACAACCCTGCGTACGTTCATCGAAGAAGTATTTCGATGGGCATGTACCACTGCTAACAGCTTCGCCGTTACTGCAACGTGCGTATGATGTACAGTCACCAGCAATGTTGACATATTTGTTACCCATGCCTTCGCAACGATCCAATAAACATTTAACATTTAAACGATCTCGGCACGTCCAGTTATCAGGATCGAAGAACAGGCCTTCGTCACATTGAATATGTTTTGGATCACGATCCCGACTGCCATCAGCTTTCTTTGCGCAAATATAATAACCACTACATGAAACGCCATCAGGGAAATAACCATAACGTGGTTCAGCCTTTGTACCGCAAATGGTACTTTCTGGTTCTGGTTTTTTGGCAGATGGCAAACATACAACTTCATCTCTAGGTACACATTTTCCTTTTATATGATCATAAGCGCTGTCTCTGTCACATTCATATAGGGTAAGTACACCACCACTGCATTGATAATAATTCACACATTCATCTTCATTGGCGAAAAATGAATTATCTGGTACTGAACGACAAACTGGACTGATTGCTGCACTTTCTGGTTTCTTAGGGCACGTATATTCATGTGGATATACGCAAGCGGATTTCTGTGGACTGAATACTAAATCACTTGGACATTTTGCACGTATTTCGGTGCCATTTTGGCAGTAAATGTAACCATTGCAATTATTGCTATCTGGCAAGAAAGCACCATCATTTTTAAGGGTACAAGCAGTATGTGTATCTATTTTGTTTAGGTAGGGACAATCGACTTCATCTTTATACATACAGCGTCCATTATCTTTATTATAATAAAGACCAAGTACGCAAGAACCTTCTTCTTTATCTTCACCACCTGGCGTTGTTGAGCAGCGAACCCAATTTGTGCAAGTTTTAGGACGCAGAATTATGGAACCAGGTGGCATAACAGCACATATTTCTTCAACACTTGGTGTTTTTGTTGTATTCACATTGGCAGCCGTCAATCCGAAAAGTGCTATAAATAGCACTAATAAAGGTTTGGCTATGAAAGAAATAATTTTAGAAAATAAGTATTTTCAATTAAAAAAATGTGTTTTAAATGTTTTAAAGTCAGAGACACGATTAATTTATATTTTGATTTCAATAATAAATTGCTGTTCCATATATTGTATAATTTGAATAATTGAGTTTTTCTTATTAATTTTTTTTCGAATATCATCACATACGATAACATAAATTTTATATTTAATTAATTCAATATTTCATGAAATATTATTCCTTGTTCTTGTTTTTTAATTTTTTCACTGACTTACCAAAAGTCATCTGGGATTGTATATTTTTAGTATTCCTGGTAATATATTTCAGATTTTTATTTCAGTACTTCACAAATTGGGAAATATAATTCAACTGACAAAATTTTCATCAAACTTCTTTAAATATGAAATTTTTGCTTAAAAACTCTTCATTTTTATTTTGTATAGAAATTAAGAAAGAACTTCTGATAAAAATTCAATCAAAT